GTTTTTTTATTATTTAATATAAAAATAATTTAAAATATAAAATAAAAAATATAGTGGCCATCCATTTTTCATCGTGTTGGATGCCAAAGTCGACAGTCGTATATGGTAGTCGTTCGATCTCAAATTTCATTAATCGCTTCATCTCGACCCCTTGAGTTCGAATCCAACCTCTATTTTATCCGATCATGCTTTGAATCCCGGTCAAAAGTGAAAAAATCAAAACGTCGACGACCATTGATCGCCTTATATGGTGGCCATTTGATCCCAGATTCATGGCTTGTTTTACTTGACCCCTTGAGTCCAAATTCAACCTCCATTTTGTTAGAACATGCTCCGGAGTCCACAAATAGGAGATCAAAAGTGAGGAAACTGAAACATTTCAGTCGAGATTCATGAGTTTTGGGATATTTTTCGATGAAACAACCACTAGATTTTAGACTCAACATGTCAAACAAGTCACTCGGTACAATTTGGGATCAAACAGTTACCGATTCCGAAGGCTGACTGTGACGAGAAGGGACAATGATGATTTTGTAGAAGGTGGAAAACTTAAAATACTATTTTATTATTTATTTTAAATTCTTTTTATATTTTAATAATTAAAAAATACCACGTCATAGAATAATAATAATAATAATAATAATAATAATAATTTGTAGTGATCAAAACATGAACAATTCAAAAGTTTAGTAAGTAAATTAATAAAATAAAATATATAATTAGTGAAATAGAAAAAAATAAAATTGAGAGAAAAATAATATAATTTACCCACGTTATAAAATAAATATAAACTCGAGTTGAGTTCAGATCTACGAGAATTTAATTCAATCAAAGTATCGTCATCCTCAGACGTGAGAGTAAGGATATATATATATGATTTGAATCCGATTTTAATTCTTCTTCTAAAAATCAGGTTTAGGACATGTCAACATAAGTGTAAAAAATCTTACACATAAACTTTAAAAGATAAATTTACTTTTAGTGCAACATTTTGTCCTTTTTATCTCTTTTTTCTCTGTCAAATTCTCCCATCTTAATCTATTCTAAATTTTTAAGATTTTAAAGTCATCACTCACTAGTCGTCGTACCAACTATCATCGTTAATTGTCGTTGAACTCTAAAATTTCACAACAACCTTTTTCCAGCCTTATAATTTTGAAGTTGGATTCGTTTCATAAAAAATAGCACGATGTCCACAAATATAAGTTATATTGCTCATCACGTTTATTTATGATATTATTCCTTAGTCGTCACTCGTCAAATCATATTGAAATAAAACTATATTATTTTTTCGTCAATAAGATTCTATCGTCATTGAGATCATCAAAATCAATCTTCAATCATCGAAAATTATTATACCAAAATGATAAGTTTTTTTCCTTTTCTTTTTATTTCCTTCATTCTATTTTCTAGGTTTTATTTCCTTCTAACTTTTTTTTCTTTGCAATTCTTATAGTTTTATTTTTTAATAGTAAAATTAAGGTTTGAAATATTTATGTCGGATCATGTAGAATTTTACTTTTAAGTTTTTTTTGTCAGATTTGGGACGAATGAAGCTACTTTAAAATCAGGTTAGATCAAATATCAAGTGAAAGTATAGAATTCTTGAGTTGATGTTAAGACAATCAAAATTCAACCATACTCGATTTATGCACATTTCTACTTGAGTGTTGATCCCTTAATTTTTTGGTTTGTGATAATTTAAATTAAGTATTGATTTCTAGATTTTTTAATTTAAATATTCAATATTTTTTTATATTTTTAATATTAAAAAAATTAACTCTTTTATCTCGATTATATAACACTATTAAAGGTATTCATGAGATAGGTTAACTCAAATATTTGTTTAGATGAGATTAACTCAAATCTATAATAATTATTTTTAGAGTTACACTATTGACGGAGCTCGAAAATTTATTTTGAGCTGTCAAGTTTAGAAATCATACGAAGATTCTCGAAAATTGAGCTTTAAAATTTTTATTGTTATATATATATATATTTTAAAATGTAAAGTAAATTTTTTTAATAGGTGTCAAGATATTTCTTGAAGGGGTTTCATTTTTTTCTTTTATATTAAATATATATAATTTATAGGAGCAAAAAAGAATTTTAAAAACAACTGGCACCCCTAATTATATACTAGCTCTGCCGGTTACTATTGATATGATGTTCTAAAATAAAATAAGTATATATTTTAAAATTTATTATTTTTTTAATAGTATGAAGTGATTATAAAATATCATTTATTTATAATTTTTTATAATTATTAATAATTTATATACATTTTATAAACGTAATTGTTCAAACCTATAACTTTAAGAAAAAATATATCTTTTAACCATTAAAATCACTTAATGAATTTAATATTATTTAATATACATAAAGTTGAATATAGATTTATTGAGGACGAGACTTTCATCCTAAATGGCTAAATGTGAACATGGATGGTATTGCATCATAGTCTAATAAATAAATCTATGGATAATTATGGACAGACATATATTTATTAATATATTGTTAATTTAATGTTCATGCAATTTGCATAATATTTAATATTATGATCTAATGTACACACTACATTTGAAAATAATTCAACATTTTGTTGTATTAAATACAACTTGACAAAACATTGTTATTATATAATATTTATTATGAATATTAATATTATTAAATTATAAGGTAAGATTTTATATTAGAATGAATAAATTTATAAAATTTCAAAGATGATAAACTTACAAAATTTTAAAAATAAAAATATATATTATTAATAAAAATATAAAGAAAAAACTTAAATTATATGAATATTTAAAATATTTAGAAAACAATGGTTTCACCAGTTCTCTTTTTTGTCCATCCTAAACTCAAAGTTGTTTTGCTTCATAAGGTTGGCATAAAGTCCTCCTCCATTTTTTCAAATATATATATTAAAGGAAATATAATTATATTAATATTAGAAATATTACATCATTTATGATTTTATATTTATGTTTATCCTCTAATTATTAAATTATTTTATGCCAATTAAATTTTGGAATAAAATCATAATTTCGATTTTGAATTTAGATGTATCTATCATAAATGAAAATGAAAACTGATTATATTTTCTATTTGATTTATTTAATTACAAAATTATTAGTATTATCAATATTGTCATTCTATGAAAATGATAGTAAATAATTATTAAATTTATGCTTCTTTGAATAGGTAAAACTGTTTCGTTTGTTAATAAAAATGGGTATTATAGAAAATCTTTGTTAGAAAATTCATATATTAAAGTCGGATGTAAAATACGGATCAATCCAAATTAATTAAGATAAAATTATAAAAAAATAGGAGAAAAAATAAATGAGTACTATAAATAGCATCTTATTCATATTATTTAGTTTGAAAGCATTTATTTTTACTGAGTTTTTTTTTACATAATTTTTATACAAATAAATAAATATTTATTTTTAAATTTGCCTATTTTGTCATGCTTCTCTGTCTTATGCTCAGCTTGTATGCATCAAACGATGCCATCACCCAAGGATATTTTCTCTCTTTATGTCAGAAAAGTGTGACTAAGACTTTAGAAAAACATTTATAATTATATAAAAATAAAAAATGTTTATTACGTAACAAATATTCAATCAGTCTAGTAAAATAAGATGTTAAAATTTTTAAATAAAATGAAAAGTTTAAATTTTGATGTTGTAAAAAAAATAAGTTAGGAGGATTGTTGTCATAATAAGCAACTTATATACAGTACTTAGTCCAAATTAATAAGTTAGTAAATCAAATGTCAATAGTTTATAACAATAAGAATCGTTTATTAATAGTGGTTGGTTTAAGTGATGATAAATTTAATATCACTTAAGTAAGGTCTTAAGTTTAAGTTTTTTGTATGTAAAAATCTCTATTGAAAGACTCACTCGTCACAACTAGGTGTATGACGCTAGTCGACTCCGATTAGTCAAAGCAAAACTTTAGAAAAAAAAGAAAAAAAATCATTTGCCTGAATTCTTCGTTAGGAGTATATGCTTTTGGTTGTCCTCTCAATTTTTTAAAATTTTATCTTAATTAATCTAAATTAATTCATATCACATATATAATTTTAATAGATAAATCTTACCGTAAAACATTTTGATATATACAGAATATCAAATTCGAAAGCTATTTAGATAATATCAAATTATTTATCATTAAAACTAAACCTGTTGGTGTTGGAAGCAGATATTGCTTTAACGCCGGGCGACAAGTGCTTTCCATTGGTGGAGTGGGTCATCGCCACGTGTCACACCCACGCTTGCGTTGATTACCTAATCAAAAACTTTTTTGACTAAAACTTAAAATAAAACTTTTTGACTATTAAAATATTATTTTTTTTAAAAAAATTGATATTGCTTTGGAAAGAAACTTAAAATATTTTTTGTTAAATAAATTTGAAATTAATTCCTAACTTAATTCATAAATAATTATAATTAAATTGAAAAAGAAAATCAAATAATTCAGTTCAAAATAACTTTAAATAAAATTTGAATTATAAAATATGATTTATAAATTTAATTAATTTATTTTTTTAATTAGATTCTTTTGGACTCGATCAAATGATTATCTCTACTATTATTTGTAGTTGTTTATTTCATCATAATCACTCATATTAAAAAAATTGAAATTATTTTTATATTTAAAGTGAAAACAAAATAATATTGTATTCATAAAATGAAAAAGCAAAGCTAAGAAAAAGAAAAGTGGTGGGATATTTTATTGCCGCCCATTTACGAAAAGCCACAAATGAATACAGAAACAAGGCAATTGGTTGATAATTATCATCCTCATTGTTAGTACTTGATTCGAGTATCTCGTGAGCCTATTCAAACTATATAATATATATAATTAATATTAGAAATATCAATTTCGATCATGTTTATGTTCGTGTTATAATCCTGTATAAAAATAAATAATTCACTATCTTTAAAAAATAATACAAACTGCAAATTCAAAATCAACATGAACCCATCCAAAATATATATATACAAACTGCAATGTATAATAAGAGAGAATATTTTGCTCAAAGGGCTTTACATTGAAGAATCCCTTTATACAAAACCTGCCTATTGAGAGGTATTTTAAGAAGCTGTCGTCTGTCAGCATCACCACCAAGTTTAGCCTGCTTTGCAATGGCCATGGCACTCAGATTCCTCTTCCTGTATTCTTTGTTATTCGATGATGGTTCCCTCACATCATCAGCAAATCGAACCCTTTTCTTCACTTGACATTTCCCATTCCCTACATCAAAAAGAAACCCAGAATTTCATTCATGCAGTAATGTACAAATAACCTACAGAAAAACATCAAGAAATAATATGTATGTATGTATGCATGCATGTGTGCGTGTATGTATTACCAGCCAATTCGAATTCAATCTTCTTCATGAAATCTGAGAGGAGACGTTTATGGACTTCATTTGCAATGAAAACTACACTTCCAGAAACTGCAAAGACTGCCACGAGGCCTAGCCTTAAAGACCCAGTTTCCATTTTTTTTAGTTCTGTGTTACTAAACAAATGGACCAATCAAGAAATGATGGGGAAGCAGAGGGAACATTTGGTTGAACATATGAAGAGAGAGAGGGAGCGAACGATGAAGAGAATGAGTTGGTGGATGGATGTTTTTTATACGTGAAGATTATGAAGCAAAAAGGATGAAATGATAATTACTATCTAATAATACACACATCATCTTGCCTTGTATGCTTAATTTGGACTTATCCTTGAAATAAATTCTCTAAAAAATCAACTCAAATTTGGTCATTTTTAGATAATAACTAAACAACAACATTAATGCTGAAATCTAGTGTAACTAATTTCCACTTTGTAAATCTGGGTGCCTAAAAGAAGACCAATGACATATATTCACTAGAATTTATCACACAAAAATCTAAAATGAAATCTGTCTATCCATCTATATATAGAGAGAGAGATTTCCAAGTGTAATTATTTTTAGTAACTAATTATTTATGTCCTATCAGAATGCAACTATGTAAAGATGTATGCCGATTTTAGTAAATGTCGCAATTCCATACCTTTGCCTTGAAATTTTGACAAAAAAAAAATCAAACCCGCCCTCCCCTTGGATTCGAACCATACACGAGTTATCTTGTCATCCGTAATTGTAAGGTCTCATTTCTCACCAATAATCCATACAAGAACATGAACCTTCTCTAAAATGATGGAACCGGTTCCGGTCTCTCACGATCAACTGACGTCCGAAAACCTTTGAAATCAGCTTGGTAGCATGGTGACAATCCTCGCACACTCTCAAGTTCTTCACTATTCGGATCACCGTTGGAGCCTTGGTTCTCATAATCCCATAAGCAATAGCAAGCTTCTCACTATGTCTATGAATAGCACTTTCTTTTTCTTCCTCATCAATGTCAAAGAATGCGTCAGATGTATTCCCTGTATAACCTGCCAATCTTATCCTCTGAAGAATCTCGTCCCAAGTTCGTTCAATCATTTCGGTTTCTGCATGCGACTTTTCTCCCATAGTAAATTTATGAACTTTCCCATCGACCTCGATCAAACTATAACCTGGCTGCTTTTTAACACCCTTTTCCTTCATCATCTGTCTTGTGGCTTCAACATTTTCCCACCTGTTTGTACGTGCATAAATGTTCGAAAGCAACACATAATACCCACTGTGTTCTGGCAACAAAGGGATCAATACGTTCCCTACTCTTTCTGCAATTTCTGCATTCTTATGAATCCTGCAAGCTCCAAGAAGCGCACCCCAAATCGGGGCATTCGGTTTTACTGGCATTCGAAGAACAAACTTCTCAGCTTCAGCTAACTTCCCTGCTCGCCCTAGCAAATCCACAATGCAACCATAATGTTCCAACCTCGGCTCGATTCCGTACTCTCTTTTCATGCTCTCAAACAACTCAAGACCTTTCTCTACTAATCCACCATGGCTGCAAGCTGATAACAAATATGTAAACGTAATATCTCTGGGTTTTAACCCAGATTTCACCATTTCCCAGAAGAACCAAAGTGCCCTCTCTGCATATCCATGCATTGCCAAACCAGCAATAACAGCCGTCCAACTAAGAACATCTTTTTCAGGCATTTCATTGAAAACTTTAATAGCTTTCTCAATACACCCACATCTTGCATACATATCCACCAAAGCAGTCCCGAGAATCACATTCAAACTCAAATTGTTCTTAACGATATAATCATGAGCTTTTTCACCTAATCCAATAGCACCCAAATGAGCATAAGAAGAAATCACACTAACCATAACCGTCTCATTAGCTTTAACCCCTTTTTCCTTCAGAACATGGAACAATTCAACAGCTTCATCAAAGCAATTGTTCTTAGCACACCCACTAATCATCGTACTCCAAGTAACCAAGTTCCTCTCAGGCATTTTGTCGAACAATTCACGGGCCATTACGACATCACCAATTTTAAATAACCCAGCAATCATGGAAGTCCATGAAACCACATTCGGACAAACCATCCGTTGAAACACTTCATTTGCAGCCTTAACATCCCCACAAGTTGAATACATATGAACTAAATTGTTCTGCACATAAACATCGTTTTCAAATCCATGTTTTATAACTTGCCCATGAGCTTGAATCCCCATATCAATGGCTTCCAACTGGGAACACGCCCTTACCAAAAACGGGAAGCTGAGATTATCGGGTACGATGTCGGCGCGTAACAATTCGGAATAGAAACGGAAAGACTTAATCGGGTCTTCACTCGAAAACCCTTTGATCAGAGCGTTGTAAATGAAGAGATTCGGGGTTTCGATCTGGGAAAAAACATCGTGAGCGTAATCTAATGAAAATGTTCCAGAGGAAGGGTCTGTACAAAGGCAAATCAAACGACTGACGGCGAAGATGTCGAATATGATGTGGGTTCTTATCATGTAGCCATGGATGATCTTCAACTGGGATAAATTGTTGCAAGATTCAAGAAATAGAAGCTTTGGGTTCTTTAGTCTTAGTGTGTTCAACACTTTGCTGCAGACATTGATGCTCTTGTTCATTCTCTGGTTATCCCAAGTTGTTTAATTCAGACAAAACACAAGAACTAACAACAAAGGCAGAGCTGTTTATACGCGGGAAACACCCATAAGTTCACACCACAAAATTAAAAGGCATAATGACCTTTTTAGTCCCTTCACTTAACACTTTAGTTATTTTAACTCTTAAACTTTTATTTTATTTTTCCACTTTTAATAATATAATCTTAAAACTTAAGAATAAAACTTAATTTTTTTTAATATTTGACTAAATAATCAATTTAATTTTTTTCTAAAATATTTTGGTCCCAACGTTTGTCTTAGGGTAAAAATTATTAATGTTTGATTAAATAATTACTTTAATTCTTACTTATTTAGATCATTTTAGCCTCCAATATTTTAATTTAGGATAAAAAGACTGATATTTTAAAATATTGTCCGTTTGTTGACAAATAATTTTCTTCCACTATGAATTTTTTTTTGTCAAAAAATAAAATATTAGAGACTAACATACTAAAAAATTAGTAATAATCAAAATAATTATTTAGTTAAATATTAAAAATATTTTTTATCATTATGTTTTATTAAAAATATGATATATATTATATGCCAAGTATTCGATATTTTAAATGTATAATATCATTATCTCGAAATTAAATCTAACACATCTAATCAAAGTTATGTACATGATTGTATGTTAATAATATAAATCTTTAATATATATATATATATATATATATATTAAAAACTTAAAAGAGTAAGATTTTAAATTTTTTTAAAATTATATTTATATATAGTACCATCGTCCCTCAAACCCTCTCCGTCAATCCTTGCATGATGGACAAAACTAGTGGCACACTTGCCGACAACAAACATCTTTATATATATCCAAAGCAGGAAAGTGAACGGGTCATGGGGACCAAGTGTCTTCCACTGCCAATCGTTGTTAATACCGAAGAGACGAGGCAAAGGCAACCGTCCGTTGTTCGAAATAACCAAATTCAACTTTCTTCACCACTTACCTTTTTCATATATTCATATCCTTTTCCACTCCTCAACAACCCTCCATTAAACCAAAATGGCAATTGAAATTTCCATTCTTTGATTCTGTCTTATCATAAAAAACCCTCCTTTTTCAATACCCTTTTTTGTTTGTTGTCCAACAACAACTCTTAGTTCTCAAATTGTGTTCTTTTTCAGATCAAAAAATTAAAAAAATAAAACAGATATATCATATATGGGTTTTCCTTTGCGATTTGATTTTGAGTGATATCATTGAAAAAAAAATGAAGTTTGGGGAGATTTTTAAGGAATATTTGCATGGTGACCAGGAATGGTTTCTGGATAAGTTTTCCCATGTTGAATATAAAAGGCTTAAGAAAGTGTTGAAAAGTTGCAGGCGCTGTAGAGCATTGCATCAAACAGATGATGGACAGAAGCCAGCATTGTCTCAGTTCTGTCAATTTCAATCTTGTCCAGGTGATTTCATTTTTTTTAATAAATCTTATCTGTATGATTTTTCAGAAACTTGATGGATTCATGGGAGGAAGATGATGTTTGTGTATTCATGTACGGATTCCAAAATTCCCAGGGCATGAGATCTAGTTTTTATATATATAATATTTGTGCTTCATTAAAGCTTTAATCATGCAAGTAATTAGCTACCCCATTTGTTTTGATCATGCCTTTTTAGCTGTGTCAATGGTGATTAAACAATGGAGGAAGAGAATATTGGTTTCCTATGCTTATTCCCTCACTTTCATGGCTTTTGAAAGCATATAATGGAGTTGAATTGAAGCAACACTCTGTTGTTTTTTCCTGGTTGAGATAGGGAAAGGTTCTAAACTTGAATATGCCTACATGAACCGAGTTAAGTTCGAACTAACCGAGTTAAAGTCGAGTTCTAGAATCGGGAACTTTGGTTCTTCATTTGTTTGGAAATATAGCTCACAGGCTTTGAGCCTATGTCCGCTAACTGTTACATCATATGGATAACCAATTAACCATACTAACGAATTGAGCTAAGCGAGGTTCTAATTTTGAGAAATTTTGTTATTCCTTTGTCTGATGATATACCTTGCAAGCTTTTGAAGGCCTATTTATGAACTTTCTATTGTTTTGATGCAAAATAATGGCAAATAGAGGTTTTTGTTGCTGATATGAAGCTCGTGATTAGTTGTTTTTGGATGATCTTTTAATTAGTTTCAGCATCTTTTAGTGTGTGATAAGATGTTCTTCACCGAGTTGATGAGGGAAGCAACGGATATAGCTGGATGCTTTAGTTCCAGAGTCCAGCATCTCCTCCATCTTCACGTCCCCACCAGGATGCAGCGGTACATGTTGCGGTTGCGCCAATGTTTCAAGAACGACCAGCAAGTGTTGGTGGAAGAAGGGCAGATGTTAATCGAGTATATCACGATGAACGCTATTGCTATCCGTAAAATCCTCAAGAAGTATGATAAAGTATGCAGCGGTTGTTCATTTCTTCAATCATTTCGCTTTAGACTAAAGAAATGAAGATTCAGTTGATTTCATCTGTTTTAGGTACATAGATCTGCTAATGGGAAGAACTTCAAGTCCAAAATGAGGGCTGAACATCTAGAGCTTCTGCAATCGCCGTGGCTGATAGAATTGGGAGCTTTGTCATTGAATTTTAATGGGTCAGATTGTGAAGCAGAATTCATTCAGTTTTCCGGTTCGTTTTTGTGCGACCTCGATGTGGAGGAACCGGTGATGACATTGATGCTTCCTCATTCAATAAAGCTGGAATACAACTTGAAGTGTGCTATTTGCTTGGTAAGCTCATAACTTCAAAGTACATTTCCATTTTTCTTTTTCTTATGTACTGCGATATTTTCATTTCGGTTTTGGTCCTTTATCCATCAGGATTTTGTTTTCAATCCATATGCTTTGAGTTGTGGCCACCTTTTCTGCAAATCTTGTGCTTGCTCAGCTGCTTCTGTGATGATCTTTCAAGGACTTAAAGCTTCAAGTCCAGATTCAAAGTGTCCCATCTGCCGAGAGGTTCAGTTTTTTTTTCTTCTTAAAGTATTCACGCTCTACATCCATATCCGACACATTTTTGGTTATAGATACGACATTCATATCTTGACTGGATGAAAGAACCAGAGTGATGTTCTTATTGCTGCAAGTTCCATTCTAATTGCATTAGGCATTGAATTTTCTTTTTCTTAATAAGTTTGTTTAATTATCCTCTTACATCGTGCTCTAAAACCAAACTCAAGTACTTTAATATGTATAGGACCCAAATGCTTTAACGAAACTGAAGAATCCGAATAACGTACATGCATTGGTCTCGATTATCTCCTAATATTTTGTTTCTCTCCTCATATGCAGGCTGGAGTTTATGCTAATGCAGTACACATGCTAGAGCTAGATCTGTTGATTAAAAGAAGGTAAAATAATTTCTTTGCTCTATAGGAGGATACTCATATTTGATCCATACATATATCTCTATGTCGGAAACTGAAACTTGCTCGAGCCGGAACTCATTTACAGGAACAAAGATTATTGGAAAGAGAGGCTTGCTGCAGAACGTGCAGAGATGGTGAAACAGTCCAAGGAGTTCTGGGAATCCCAGACCAAATATGTGGTCGGCTATTAAGCTTCAGTTCTTCATTTTCTTTAATTATTGAAAGATGAAGCCATTGATTAGTGTGTCTAGCTTTGCATTATCAAGCAAGGGGAGTTAGGCTTAGATTAGACCTTGTATGAGTTTAAGGTTTCTGAATAAATAATAAACCGAGCTCGTAGCTAGTTTGGATCTAGGTCGGGTTCAGACTCGTGTTATAACGAGGAGCGATCTTGGAGATGCTACGATGATAAAGCATATGAAGCATAAGCATAACCTAATGTTACGTGACAAGATCATGGAATAAGGCAGAAGTAGTGATAGGTGCATGTTACGTCTCTCGCATTCATTCTTCCATTGTCCAAAGTGTGATTTTGTTTCTTTCATGAAACTCGTGTCGGGTTATCTAAATCGAAATATATGTTAGAGATCGTAATTTAAATTTAAACTTTGTTTAATTCAGTTTGAAAAATTATGTTATAATCTACTAAGAAGGAACCAAAATTAAAGGAAAATCTATTTCTTACTAGGATTTAATGTCAAAAGATAAAAATGGTAAGAATTCTTTATTTTGTCGACATATGAAGACAAAATTGATAATCGATAACAATATATATTCTTCCTCATTGATTGGCCAATTTGGTTTAGGTTTTATATATTTTTCCTTGATTCAAAAAAACATAATTTTTAGTCACTTTTATTTTTATTTAATTATGATATGGTCACTAAAGATTAACCGTCGTTAGACTTTTAATTAAGAATCATAATTGAAAGGAATCCAATAACATAGTATTTGAATTTGTACCTTTGGATCTCTATGTTTCCTTGGTTAACATATGCTGAAATGATCTACAAGACTAAAATGATGTGCTACTGTAAAACACAAACTTACCATGGGAGTACAACGAGTCAGGCAGACCTTTGAATTTACAGGTACTCTGAAGTTTTTTAATATCGTGAAGATGAATGGTAACTAAAGCAAAGATCGTCCTTTCGTTTTTATGACCAATTTGTTATTTTTGAAATTTTAGTGGAGGAAATAAAAAGTTACTCAAACATTAATAATTATTTATGATGTTTATCTTTTTAAGTTTATATATTTAATGTATCACATTAGCAATCCGTTAAAGTTTGAACGACAATTAACCTTCAGTGATCACATTTTAATTAAATAAAAATAAAAATGGTAAAATATTATATTTTTTGAATTCAACGAGAAAAAATATACAAAATTTAAACAAAAGTGATTAATCATGTAGTTTACCATTAAATTTATTATTATTCTCAATTTTTTCTTAAAATGCATTTGATTTCGAAATAAAAACTTTAACCAAAGAATTGAAAATTACTAAATCGGCCCTATAAGATTTAAATTTGTCAGACCAGTCCAACAACTTATTTTCCCTATTAATATGGTATTTTTTTTTAGCTCGGCTCTTATTAATTTAGCAACTGGTAGTTGAAGATCCAAGCCTTAGCCTGTACTCCCTTGCAATTTCCGATTTAAAGCTCAGATCATTTACCTCGCCGGCGAAACGCTATCGCACCTCCGACACCCAGGTAACTCTTATTTCTCCTGTTTGAATTTGTGCTTCAGCCGTCGATGGCTGCGTTTTTTTCTTTGCCATTTGTGTGTGTTCAGTTTTCCGATTTGCCTAGGGGAAAAACTTATTGACATATTTCTTTGTTTATTTTTTACAATTTAGCGGGAAATGAAGAAAGAAATCTCTTATTCATGTGAATTTTTAGAAATTTATGAGAAGGAGCTCCACAAATATTCCTATACTAGTTAGGTTGATAATTGGGAAGGGCATTTAGTAAGGCAATGAAATTGTTAAGATTTCGTGACCTTAAATTCCTGTGGGGAACGTCTGTGTATCCAGTAAAGGGGAAATGTGGTTAAGTTGATAGTTGAACTCTTTAGTTTGTAGAATTACTTGGCATAAATTCTGGGCTTATTGGCTTTTTCATCAGTTTCAGGCTGTCTAATCGCCGCTTTTGGGAAATTTGTTATATTTATTGTATGTTGTTGCTTTTCATCTTCAACTTTTCTAGTGTTCTCTTGGTTGCCGAGCTGGAGTTTTGTTTGGAATTTGTATTAAATCTTAAAAATATTAGTCTTTTTATGTATCAGGCTGACTAGAGATGGCGGCTGCTATGTATCCACCACCACCACCGTATTGCAGGCTCTACAAAGATTACTTGCAAAACGCTAAATCAGAACCGGAGCCTCCTATGTTAGCTTTGGTGGCAACTACACCGTGAGCTTTCTCATTTTATTTGCAAATTACTTGCTACAATTTGTATAAACTATTTATGTTGTTTCTTTTGGATGTACACTGATGATGTGCTTCCGAGTTTGGAAGATCAAGGGGTTCGCCAACTCTACCCTAAAGGACCTAATATTGGTAATTTTTATATCTTGCTTTTTGATTTTGTGAAATCAATAAATGGAGTTCGTTTAAGCATGCTTTTTTCACAGTTGCTAGTTGGTTGTAGGTGATTTTTTATGCTTGATTCGCCTAAGCTAATCTGCTAATGTTTTTCACTTTTAGTTTTTGAAAGGAGTCTTATGGGTATCCAAACATTCTGTAAATTAGTGATGAGTGATAAGAATATGTTTTTGTGTAATCTAATTTCATGAGGTGGAAATTAGTAGACATATTTTGAGTGACTTTTTAGTTCAATTTGTACTTAATACGTTTTTTTCTGTGGGTTTGTGTGCCTTTAGGACCCTTGGATAATCCTGAGTCTCTGATCATTTTTTTCACTTTGTTGATGTACTTATTGATGCGAATTCTGACCACTTCTAGATTTCAAGAAGGAACTGAGGTCACTTAACAGAGAATTGCAGCTGCACATTTTGGAGCTTGCGGATGTTCTCGTTGAGAGACCATCACAATACGCTAGACAAGTGGAGGAGATGTCTCTTATATTCAAGAACTTGCATCACTTGCTAAACTCATTGCATCCTCATCAGGTTTAAAAGGCCATTGTCACATTATCTGGACATTTATTTTTTCTGCCCGGTAAATGCTTTTGAATCCACTTGGTTCTATGGTTGTATTTTGTTTCTACAGGCTAGAGCAACACTTATTCACATTCTAGAACTTCAGATACAGCGCCGTAAAGATGCTCTGGAGGATATTAAAAGTTATGTTATTGGAGAAACTGCTCCAACCTAATTTTTCTGCCGGAAGAGATTAATATGTTCTTTGAGCTGCTTAGAAGTATCATATGAAATATGATCATTGATGCGTATCTGAAACTGTCTACAATCATGAAGATTGCAATAATGCCTCGTTACGTATACTTTAGTTGATGGTTAATAGCCTAGGATGAAATTGAATCTTCCCTTGCGTCTCGTTTTACTCCGAGAATGTAGAATTATCCTCATGTTGTTTATCGACTTAATTGTGTTACCTTTCACCAGAGACGAGGATATTCCTCTAATCCTCTCAGAACTCTAGGGTCATAAGATGTTATCAATGTCAATGTCTTAGTAAATACCCTCATCAAATTTCAACCTTACCAGCTTAGTTAATCGGTTGAAATTTCTTTTCATGTTCTCTTACGAGACAAGAACCGGTGGTTGTGTTAAAAGCCGTCCCATGATATACCGGTATGGTTAGAAAATGACAATTTACTTGCTTAGTGTGCAGCTTTGTTTCATTGCTTGTCCAGGAGGCGAGAAGAAGCACAGAGACTGCTCAAGGAGTCGCTCTCGACCTCTGATTGACAGTAGTACACCGAGTTTGAGCTCGAATTGCGAGCTGCTTCTTTCATGGCGTCGATTCCGTAGATTTTCCATTAGTTCTAGGAGTCTGAAATATATCAGAGTTGTAGTTAAAAGCTTAACATGCTCCCAACTTGTGGTAATTTTCTCTTGTATCGACGAGGAATCTCTGTTTATAATTAAAGTCATTTATAAACTGTAAAATTATCTGGGATTCTCATAGCATTTTCGTTTCCTTGAGCAGTTAATTTTGATTTCAAATAACTCTAGAGCTGTGAAATCACTCTTAGGTGTTCAAATATTCCAAAAAAAATGTATTTTAAAAAACAAAAATACATAAAATAAACATATTTTCCAGCATAATTCATTGAAAATTTTTAACAACAATAAATAATTGTTTAAGCAAGGTCAAGTGTTCGAATCCTGACGTTTGCGAATGGAGCAAATTGGGTTGGGAGGATCGCTCTTGCCTATGCAATATCTGATCTGAATTAGTTGGTATATAGATCGAACAACAGTGATTAATTCAAAATGATCTAACACCAATGATTAGTTTTAAAAAATGGACAGACATCTCTGAAATATGTCTAGATTCTAAAATGGTAAACAAAAAATAAAAGCATCTTAATTGAGTTCCCAAACTATCAAATAATGTTTTAGTTAATTCTTTTAGTTAAGTCTTAAATGACAATTCAAATTTATTTGAACATATATATTTGGGTAAACTACATAAATAGTCACTAATGTTTGAGTATGTTTTCATTTTTATCACTGATATTTCAAAAGTCACAAATTAGTCATTAACATTATCGTTTGTTACAAATTGGTTGCTCGACGTTAACAGTCGTTACTACAGGTGACGAAAAGCTGACATTACGTGTTAATTGCTAATTTGACACCATTTGACCATTATTTTAACTTATCATTCCCTTTCATCTCCACTCTCTCACCTATATACTTCTTTTTAACTCAAAATCCACCATTTTCATTAGTCTTTCTTCTTTAATCTTCATCTTCACGCTCATCTCATAGCTCTCTATCTCATGCAAAGTTTGCCTAAGAAGAGAAAATACCATGGCATGGCATGGCATGGCAATAATAAGGATCGTTAGTTTTCAATTTTCATCCATGTTAAAAAGGTTTTTGCAGTGAAAATAAGGTTTTTGCAGTGAAAATGGCCCCTCAATATAAATATACCTACTCTACTACAATTGCAGGCTCTCAAGTAGTACAATAAAGTATTCTTCTTCATGTTAATGTTCTTTCTTTTACTGAACTTTGAGGCTTCTCGTTAGCTTTGCTTGAATGAGGATAAGTGGAAGAAACATATACCCTTTTGTTGCTACTCAATTGAAAGAGCTTGAGCATCAAGCTTTAATCTTCAAGTATATAGTCTTCGCATTCCTATATCACCTGATCTCATCTTCTCCATCAAAA